TCGCGACGCCAGGTAGGGAACCACAAAGTCTGGCCCGCCTCCTTCTTCATCTCCCGAACCAGCTTGTTCGCAGAGACCAGCGTACTGACTGTCGCCTGTGGCACTGCGCTCAGAAGCAAAGAGACCTCCGCTTGGTGGTGAGGCCCCGTCTGTGAAGCCTTCCAAGACAAGGTCCCCAGCACGGCTCGCAAGTTTGCGATTTCCTTTTGCGTCAAGGGACTCTTCAGCTGAGTTTCTCTGGCCTTGGTCAGCGGCACTTCTTCCAGCCACTTGTTCACATAGTCCAGCTGGTCCACGTAAATCCCGTCCTCCGTCTGCTTCAGGTGGCACCCGGCAAACTCAAAGTCCTGTTCGCTCCACTTTCCAAAACGAAACTCGGCCTGGAGGTCCTTCTTGGCCTGTTCGTACTTGGCGTTGCCCGGGGCGCCACACACCAGAAAATCGTCTACGTGAATCCCAGCCAAGGCCACCAACTCATGCGACACATCATCATAGAGACAGAAGAAGCGCGTAGCGTCCCGTGCGGCTCAGGGTCGGAGCCGCGGTCTGGACCGAAGTGAGGTTCGGCTGTTGAAAACCGAGAACGACGAGTCGAGCCTTGGCATTGCCAGAGCTTTTCCTCGTGAGCACCCATCTCATTCTCATTATCCTGGACGGGTCCACATTTTCCAGCTCAGACTTAGTCAAGGCGCGTACGGCAGCTGAAGACAGAACGTTGCTCAATTCGACAGCTTGAGCGCTATCAAATTCGATCTTCTCGTCGAGGGATAAATGATTCCACGTCACCTCTTTCGACTTCTCGGCCATCTTCTGGGACAACCAGATCGCAGACTTGGACGGCTTCTTCAAAAGCCGCGCCAGGTCCCGCTCTTTGACCTCAATCGTACAAGAGACGGCCATCATATTCTCCTTGACTTTGGATCTGGGCAACTCTGCATCCGCCTTGCGTTTGCCCCCGTGGTCCGGAACAAGCTCCTCTTCAGAAGAGGTAGAGCTGGAACTGCTGTCGCTGCTGCTTTCGTAGGCCGCTGAGTGTGCGGCCTCCTCTTCAAGCTCTGCAGGTAGAGGAACGCCTGCAGCCCTCTGTCCAGGAGTTCCAGGAACAGGTAGTGGAGTCCCAGGTAGCGCAGCAGGGGCCAAGGGCGCTGCACTCGACGAAGCTACCTGAGGGGCAGTAGCCACCGGTACAGGAGGCTGTCCACTCTCTGCTGCACTGCTAGGCTAGAGCTGGGCTTCAACTCGAAGTGGGTCTCGCCAGTCCAGCGCTCCAGCAGGCCACGATTGGGCTTGGAGTCCGACCTGAAGTCATCCTCGATCACCCGCTTCTGAGTGGACCCTGTAGTCTGAACGAACGTTCTCCGTCGCCCCGTCAACTGCGAGTCCTCGACAAGACACTCCTGAACTCTGTCTGGAGTGAACAGTGTCAGCCGAGGAGTGCTGTGTAAGCGAACCAGGGTCCCCTCTCGGACCCCCCACTTGTCACGGGAAGTCTTCTTCTTGCTCGGGTCCGGCTCCACTCGTACCTCAGCAGGTGCCATGTCCTCCTCGATCGCCTGCCCAGGAGTCTCCTGGGACGCATCCAGGAAGTGCCGGCCAGTGTATCCTCTGAGGAGGGTGCTCAACGTCACAGGATTCTTAATCACAGACATGCCTTTAGTCGAGTGAACAAGTTCCTCCCGGGACGAGCAAGGTCTGACCTGATTGGTCTTGGCGCGGATGATCGTCGCTCCTGTAGCCATCCAGACAGTAGACCCCTCTTGGAGCAAGACCCGGAGAGGTCCAGTCCAGGTCCCTTTTCCGTGGCGGAGCCGCTGTCTCCAGAGCATCACAAGGCTTCCAGCATTGTACTGCTCAGCTCTTCTCCGGACAGCGTTGTTCAAACGAGACAGTCTCTCTGCGGCGTCTGCCTTAACAAAGGCCGCTCTGGCTCTCTCTCTCATCGCCAGCATCTTGGCGAACGCCTTGGTCGGGCGAATTCCCTCCGGCAAGGACTCTATCTCATCCTTTTGCCATCCACGGGACCACTGAAACGGAGAGAAGCCACTGGGGTTCACAGACGAATTCGCTCCATGAACCGCTAGCGCAAAGGTCTCCTCAACGGAAATGTCCAAACCCTCGCGCTCTAATCGAGCTGATGTTCGCTTGGGCGTCTGTATCTTCCGCTCCTCGGTCCCGAGAAGCCAATGTGCTTCTCCCGGAGCCAGTAGAAGCCCGACCCCCGATCGGGCACAGAAGTCAGCGAACTCAGAACTTGAGAAGTACGGAGCACTGTCTGCGATGATCCACGTTGGAGCGGGATTGACCGCCATCCAACCGGTGATCACTGCTGAACGAATGTCTGCTGATGCTGGCTCCCAGTTTTCGGCTGCCGGGTAATCCTTCAAGTGCTTCACCATGCACAGCCGACTTGCACGATCTTGCATAAGAAGGAACTTTGCTTTCATCCGTGAACATGGGTGGTTCTTCAGTTGAAGCAGGGGAGCAGGAGTTAGTCGGCGAGATTCGTCACAATCTGCACAACGAAGTTCTCTAGCTAGGTCACATGCCCACTGAGCAGCTCCTCTTTTCTTAAGCATGTTGGCCAAGGCCGAGAAACTAGTTTGACCAGCTGCGCGATGCATCCTCAGAAGTTGCGACTTGATCTCCTCCAGCTTGCGTCCTGTGGGTCGTTCCATGGGAAGTGAAGTGCGCTGAAGAGCCATCACAGGGCGCGACTCATCGGCATCGCATGTTACACCCATCTCGCCCGCGACCACTCGCTTCACAGAACTGCCAAAGTCCTTGATCGCAGTATTGCCGTCGTTCTTGATCGCCGTGTTGCCGTAGTTCTTGATCGCTGTGTTGCCGTAGTTCTTGATCGCTATGCCGCTATGTTGCCGTAGTTCTTGATCGCTGTGTTGCCGTCGTTCATGAACACCTCCACTTCATCACGAAGAGAGCCGCATCGGTCACGAATGTCCCACGACATGGCATTCACGATGTCTTTGATCATGCCTTCGGGCAGTGCAGGGGCCTTGACCGGCCAGTCACCATGAACTTTGTGTCCCGGGCATCTCCGGCGAACAAGCTTGTAGCGCAACTGCTTGGCATTGGTGAGGATCTTCCAGTTCACAGGGCTTGTGGCCGGCCCGTGCTCGTACACACATTGGTCCACGATGCACTCGAAAAGGTCATCTCCACTCTCGTGGGCCGCCTCCTTGATTTTCTCAATCGCCTTGCTGCGCCATCCCCACTGAGCCTCGGCTCGCCATATCCAGCCAAACAGCTTCTTATTCTCAATGCGGTGCACCACGGTATCCGCCATCCGCTCGGCTGCCTGAAGATCGCGTCGCCGGGCCCGCTCATAGTTCCTCCACTGGCCCGGGGATCCAGACCAATCCATCCGAAGAAGCCGAAGGTCCGGAAGGTTAACCCACAGCATTTCTGGATCCCTGGCAACAACCTGGTCGTGGATGGTGCCGATGCTTGACGCGTTCCCAAAGTGGTAACCGTCCTGGCTCGTCACGGCCTCACACAGCAAGCCTTCGTCACGAAGGGCCGGCGACAAAGTGCCGCCACCAATCTCAAACACGTCCAATGAATTCGAAGTCAACGCCAGCAACGACGTAGCTATACAAAGAGCACTAGCCATGAGCCCCTTGGACTCATGATGTATGCGCTTACGGCATGCCAAAGTGATACCCTCGCGCTCGGGGAGCCCATCCAAGTCAGGCCCAGGAGGCCCGTCACAACTCGAACATTTCGCAAAAAGAGTCCCCGACTGGCTTCTGCCATGCGCCTTCACAGGTCTTGCTCTCGATCCGGATCCTCCTCCGACGGCGGGGCCCTGGCTGAGGCTGTCACGCTCATGTTGTCCCAGCCGTCCGACATGGACCTCGCATGCTCCATCTCCTCGTTGACCTTGCCGCGAAGCTCCATCAACTTGCTCTCGAGGTACATGATCTGCTGGGTCGCCTCCGCCAATTCGCCCTCCTTGTTGTCCAACTTGTCGCACAACTCCTTGTTGATCTTCTTGATCGGCGCATCCGCTGGGCCCGGGATCCTTGCCGAGGGTGCCGCCGAAGCACTGTAAGGAGGAGTCGCCATTGAAGGTGCCGGCTTCTTGGTCGGTGCCGCCTTGGAGGACAAGGCTCGGCGACTCTCGCACGTTGGCGGTTCTTTCGGATCGGGGCCCATGGTCTTCTTCAAGGGAATTACGCGATCGGCCAGAAACGAGCGGCTTTGCACCTCCATGATCTTGCCCTTCACCACTGTGTCGTTCACCACATCGATCTCGCCCTTGAGATACATCTCCTCCAGCTCGCTCATCGCCTGGCGAGTCACCTCGATCGTTGGGCCAGCCGTCCTCCGCTCTCCATGGCCTCGGGTCGCCCGGTAACTCACTCGAACGCCGCACTTGGTGCAATCCTTCCAACGGCCCCACTGGTTGCCCTTCTCGGGCCCCTCTTTGTGCGACCCCTTGCATGGCCAGCCCGTCAGACGTGGATCCTCCAGGGGGGCCGGCTGCTTCTCCATGTGGCACAGAAGAGAGGGAGCGGAGACGGTGGTCGGCAAGGCGAAGCCGAAGCGATCTGATCCGATGGGGCAACGACGAGACAACTTGATCATGAGGCCCAACCGCTAACATCATAGCACTCTGTTCTGCACTCACACAAGCAGCATGATCATGTAACTCACCTCGATCTGCAAAACACTCATGTACATGCTGCCGCTGTGCAGGTTGCTGTTCACAAAGGTCACAAGGAGGTTGAGGTAGGTCATAGGGTTTTGCGCTAGGGTCACAAGCACAACGCTGCAACGGAACACAAAGAGCACTCACTTGCAGACTGATCGCACAACGGGACTCACAATGTTTTCCTGGGCCGGCCTCGGCAACGATCTCGTGGTCGGTGCCCTGTGCCATTGCGAGGGCTTCCACGGCCCCCGGTGAGGAGAAAAGCTCCAAAAGGCGAGCGGCATCACCCGGGAGCTGAACACCGTACTGTGCCTCGGCCTTCTCTTTAAGGATCGTCATGTTGGTGGGGTCGGCCCTTGGGTCCAACACCAGGTGTCCCGTCCGGGTCCTTTGCAAAGGCGCGCTCATGATCCGTGATCGCTGTCGCCTGGTCGGCCGGGGCGGCATTGAACATGTTCAGCGGCACGTTGTTGTTCCACACGTCCCGCTGCTCGTTCTCGAAAATGCCAAGTGCCCGGCCGTGGCCGTTGCCTTCCAAGCGGCCCCAAACGGCAGGACCATTACCCATCGTCAGGTCGGAGGGGTCCACCACCGGAACCACAACATTTGCGTTCCGCTCGCTCGGCTGGTCATTCTGGTAAAAGTCGGGCTGCCCTTCCTCACGGACCACTTCCATCATGTAGGTGCCATAGAAGTTCACGGGGAAACCCTGCTTGGCCTTTCCCTTTCCAGGCGGCCTGAACTTCCCCTTGCCCTTGCCTTTGGGCCGCGGGCCTTTAGGGAAGCCCTTCTGGTACATTGCCGTCTGTCCCTGGAAGCGGCGAGGACAGTCCCTGAACCAGTGTCCGAGCTGGCCGCAGATCAAACATCTCGTTGGCGAACTCCCGCGGCCGCCCTTCGAGGACGATTTTCCCCCAAGGGGATAATATCCCCGAGCTGCCCGGACCTTTGCCACAGCCGCGCGAGCCTCTGTCAAAGTGCGATTGGCTTCCGCTGCTAGGGCCGTCGCGTCGGCCTGTTGCTTAAGTGACTCTGCTTCCTCCTGGCTCGGCTCGGCCTCCTCTTCTGGGTACATGTCCTCCGGGTAGATCTCGTTCCCGGCGGCGTCATAGTAGATGCCCTCGTCCTCGGCACCGTCGTAGTAGAGGCCCTCGTCGGGCCAGTCCTCCCAGCCTTGCTGGGACCAGCTAAGGTCGCCCCAGTAGGCGTCAGCGAAGTCCTCAGGAGGACCCGTTTCGCAATCGAAGTGCTCGCCGTCCGGGTCCTCTGTCTCGGTGGCCCACCAGGCATGTCGATCTCGGTGGCGGTGCCGGTGAGAGCCGCCGCTGTCATCAAAGAACGCCCTCAAAGCCTGCCGGACAACCTGAAAGTTCACCAAGTTGCCCGCCAGGGTGAGCACCTGCTGCCGCTCCTGCACGGTGAGGTTGGTCGCCTTGAGGAGACGGTAGCCGCGAAGCTCATCGTTGAAGTCGGCGGGCTCCTCGGGCAGCACCGTCACATCCGGCTGGCTGACCTTAGGAGACTTCCGCGGTGATGAACTCGGAGAGGTTTTGCGAAAATCCGGAAGGTCCTCGAAATCCTCCATGGGGCTCTGCTTCGCGTCGTCCTCGTTCTCGTCTCCCGGCGGTTCCTCCGGCGGGCGTCCTCAAGAAGGTCTCTCGGACAGACCTCGGAGGAGGCGGTTTTCTCATGTCCCTGGATCTCTTGAGCGACTGCTGCAATTCGGTAAAGCACTCGTCCTCCCTCACAAGGAACTCTGGGATCGTCTCGTGGTCCTTGCGGCGAAGTGTGTTCCACCGCTCAAGTTTGGCAAAGCAGTCGGGAACCGGCAAGGTCTGAAGTGGGCTGCCCCTCAGAAGGGTCAGCAGCTTCTCAAGGCCATCCGCCCTGTAGTACTGTTCCGGATCCAAGTGACGGACCACGCTCTTGGCGGGCCCAGACAGCTTTGCCCACACACGGGCCGCCGCACCAGCCTTCTCTGAATCCTTGAGGGTAAGCACATACCACCGGCAGGATGTTTCGAAGGCCTGGTAAGTCGCGGGGTTCCCGTCCCAAGAAGGAGCATCATGATCGCCAGCGCTCGCCTGAGCAGACATTCGCCTGAAGGAGGGAGGCCCAGGATCTCAAGCTTCAAGAGCAGCCGCACGACAGCCGCTCCGCTGCCATGAACGAGGCGCAGTCCTCGACTAAGCTTGCGGGCAAATGCCCGGCACAAAGATGCGTAAGCCACGGCTCCTTTTCTGCGCAAGAGCCCGATCCCTGCGGTAGCGTGAACGTGTTCAAGCATGCAATCGTGAAACAGATCTGCGAAACCTCACGCTGCAAGTCACCTACGGTCCTGACAATTGTGAGTTGGCAGAAATACCATCTGCTTTCGTATGAAGAGGAACAGCTTGCAAATCAGGTTGAGGCGAGCGTGGCACCCGTTCCAGCGGAGAAGGTGCATGTAAAGGGTTTCTTTCAGGGTGATGGTCAACAGCAGTGGCATGAGTCATTGATTGCTGAGTATGCAAAGATGGACGGTGTCCTCCGCGAGGTCCCCAGATCGGGATTGCGCGAGTACTTGAGCCTGTCCCGCGAGGCCAAACTTCCCAGGGAGATCCCATCAAAGGTCCACCAGAAATTGTGCGATGCCTTGTATCCTTGGCTGCGAAGGTTGAGGATTGGACATTGTGCGGCCACGACGTCGAGGCGGCTTGTGTCAACGCGGAGATCCCGTGGTAATTACTCTAGGAATTGTTGCAGAAAACACTGTGTGGGTGGCGGAACGCAACATCTGCGGCCTTCGACGTGAACCAACCGAATGGGAGCGAGAACGTGATCACAAACTCAACAATGCGGAACTGCCTCCTGGTGATGGGGACAAACTGGGAGCACTGCATTTGGTCCCGTTGAATCTGGCAGCAGGTTTGTGGGCGTTTTCTTGGACAGGAAAGGGCATGTGGCAGCGGGCCGGTACCTTCGAGCGAGGCAGCAAGGGCACGTGCGAACGCTGGGCCACAGTGCAAAACGGCGTGGAACACATCAACCCAAGACGCCCAGTAAGCAGCAACGGCATGGCACTGAGCGCTGCGCAAACCAAGTCCGCCATGGTGCAGCGCAAGTTGCGCTCGGGCGGCGGCGAGGGGGCGAGGGGGCGAGGGCTGCCAGTCCAGCCGCCTCGTCGGCCTAGAGTAAAGCACTCAAGCAAGACAGTACGGCGGCATCGCGGCCAGCTGCGTACTCGTTGAGGGGGTCCCTACAAGAGGACAGCAACCAGGCCAGTTGGGTGTCAACTGCGGCAGCCGATTTAGGAGCTTTGTTGGGCGAGGTAAGTCCGCGTGCCAAAACACCAAGTGCAACTATGCCACAGGGGGCTGGGTCAAGAGACGTCATGGCCGGGAGCATGTTCCATACGCAGGTCTTGGTAGGGTTGAAGCGAAGATGCGCCCGGAGGATGCGTCTCGAATCGGCGGTAAAGTTTCAGACACCTTGCACGGTCGTCTGCAGCCTTGGCCTCGACGGAGAGATGTCTTGCAGGGTCCTGTCGCAGTTACAGACGCCGCCTGACTCGATGCAGCAACGCATTGTGTTGGCCCCCTGGGCGTGGAACGTGCCGGGGCCCGGCCGGGGCCCGGGGCCAACGGGTCTGCTCGTTGCCGAAGTCTTGTGTCGCCCACGCAGGGAGCAGTGCCGGCGCGACTTCGCGTTGCCGAGAACCGCAGCTCGACTATTGTCGGACGTGCTTCGGCCGTCTCAAGAGACGATTGTGCAATGCACATCGAGTTGAGCTCGGTTGCGGTACGGAGCATAGCAGCCCCACTGTCAGCCCCTAAACGTGTTTAGACCACATCCGCAAAGTGCCGGGCAGAGTTAAGGATTGCCGGGTCAGTCCTGATTGTCACCTTCGCGTGGCTCAGCTACACGATGAGTTCGCCATATGTAGTTCACGTCGCAGGCCGCTCCCGTGAACTTGTCCCATCTTCAGGGCTCCGGGTGCCATCGGTTTGAGGAAGGAGTAGTCAATCTTCATCCGCGGCTTTTGGGCCTGCAGGTGCAAAGGCACAATCGATTCCCAACATCCAGCACACTTTGATGCAATGTTCGCACCACGGCGGGGCGGGGTGGCTCAACATTTGGGTCGCAGAGGAGGACATGCTGAGTGGGCCCCCTCCATCTCCACAAATAGAAGTAGAAGCCCAGAGGGCATGGACGTAGCGCCGCGTGCACCTTGCAGCGACAGCCGTATCTGGCCGGCGGGCGGCACTGGCATGCAGCGATTTGTGCGGCAGTGCTGCCAAGCTCGCTCGCTCGCGGTCCGAAAGGCACGGCAATCCAGGTCTCTGAAAGCAGGGCCGATAGCTGAGGCGCGGTGACAACATCCTTGGAAACACTTTTTTGAATGGAACTCGCTTACCAAAGACGAGATGTCAAATCTGAAACTCCCTGTGCAAGATCCAGAGGGGTGAAACATCATCTTCGAGGACACGCATCAGTGACCTTGATGAAGATTATTCCTCCCGTGGGCCGCATGGTCTCGGAGAGCAAGAGACGGTTGCGAGCGCCTCTCTTCCTTTGCGGAGATGTTCATGAGCTCCAAGTTGGGCGAGAACTTAGAAACAAGACATACACAGACGCGGGGCGGCGCCGGGGGGAGTCTTAAGGCCTTATAAGGTGCAGGCTCCCTGCTCCAGAGTTGAAACGGCATCCCAATCCCGCGACGGGGAGGTCAAGCGCTTCCAGGTGCTGCGCTCCTTGCTCTCAGCGGAGCTCACAAAGGCGCTCCGGACTGCGAGAGCATTGCCCATCCGGCCGCCTCTTCCCAGTCCGCCGAGAGCATGGCCAAGGAGAAGCCCGCGGCGGCCAGCACCTCTCTTGCTTGCACTCTCTGCTCTTAGCTCCTTGTGACGTTCGGCTCGGAATCTGCCTGGAAGACGGCCACGAGGCGGAAGGAGGCTCCAATGCTCCAAGAGTCCATGGCCTGCAGTGCACTCTCCTGGCCTCCCTCGTCCTTTTTCGCAGATTGCTCGTGGCATCTTGCGCGGGCTTGGCCTTGCCAATGGCATAGGGCATCGGCATTGCGAAGAGCAGGTTGTTGCACTGCACCTGACACGACAAAGGCACTGGACGGTCGAAACCGTCCGACATGGTGCTCTGTTTTGTTGTCTCTGTCTGCTCTGTGCCTGGTAGACCGACGCCTCGATGACGCGGCTCTTGGTCAGCGCCTGGAGAAATGCACCAAGATGACGTCCATTCTTCATTCGCTCTCTTCTGAGCGCCGGGCGAGGTTGATGATCCCCTGCCTCGTGCAAGCTCAGTGCGAGCCCGACTTCCTACGATGAATTACCGCTGCACTGCTAGGAAGCTTCATTGATGCTGTAGGCACAGGCGGTCCCATACGTCCGATAGGTCCCCTAAAGCAGGACTTGCTCATGAGACCTGACTGGGCAGTGTGCGCCGCCGGGTACACGCCACCGGCAATGCAGAAAGTCAGGAACAGCGCCGGCCTCGCACATTTATTCCACGTCATCGAGAGTCGCGAAAACAAGGGCTCTCAAGTCCCCAGCCAGAAGACAATGCCCGAGACGTACGGAAGCACTGCTGCAAGGACGGCGGCCATACTGGAGACGGATGCGAGGAAGATGAGAGTCCTCAATAAGGCACCCCCTGGCCCAAGTGTTCAAGGGCGTATCACCACACGCCGTCCTCCTGTGCTGACTCCACTTGTCTGACTGCACCACGCTCCCCGACATGGCAACGTAGCCACCTGCGACACGGTAGCTGAATAATCTGCTTCGCCAAGCATGTGTAGCACCTAGGGCAGGGCCAATCAACGCAATGCCCTGAGATCACAAGCCAGAAGCCAGCAGAGAGCCAGCACGGAGAAAGAAGAAACCAGGCAGCCCACAGAGAAGGTGCCCAGTATGACGTGTAGGCCGAAGCCGCGCGACCTTGCATTGCACTCTGCGAGCAACGACTTTGCTTGCCTTCCACACTCTGTCTCCGACGTCGCGTAGTCGCGAATCACGTACTTGCACCTCGCGAAGTGTAATCGTTCATTCTTCAATCACAAGCCCTGCTGCATATGCGCAAACTCGTGCAAACCTGCCCTCCAAGCAATGTGCCCGCCAAGAAAACCAAGCTGTGCTGCCAGGGACACGTTGGTCACCCAGTACCTCTGCCCATAAACCCACCACAATGAACATGGTAGTTTCTACAGTTGCTCCAAACTCGGGGACGCTGGGGTCATCTAGTTTTGTTACTCCGCAACAGCTTGGGACTTCGCGTGGTTGCAGGTAGCATGCAGTCAAGCAGTTCGACGCCGTTCTGCAATGCACCGGTTCTAACACCAGGACAGCCGGCATCTGCCGTTGTAGGTGCCAGACACACCCCACCGCTCGGTGCTAGGGTACTCCACTTCACCTTCGCTGGCATTGTCTTGTAGCAAGTACAGCACAGGATTCGCACATTCGCACACCTCTGAGAATCACGCTTGCAGGCTTCTCGAGATCCTCCTCACCTGAGTGTATCGTTCTCGCACGCGGTCGCTGCCTACGCGAACTTTCAATACATGCCGGCTGCACTGTCCAGACGCTTCGTCGGGTGGTCGTCGGACAACTCCAAGTAGCCTGGCGGCTGAGTCGCGGAATCAGCTCCGACACGACAAAAACGAGCAAAGGCTGACGGCGTCCACCGTAGGCCAAGCACAGCAAACCAGTGCCGGCAAAAAGGACACCTTGCCCTGCAGAGGCAAAGGCAGAGGCAGAGAGGCTTCCGTTCCGCTCAGAGCCAAGGCTCCGTCCCGGCCTAGAAAAGCCCAGCGCCAGTGGAAGCCAGCATTCACCAGCTCCTCTCTTGACTCTTCGGCTTCCAGCGGGACACTTTCGTTTGGACCGCCGATCCTGGGCCACGATGAAGCCCACGTTCTCACCAAGCGGCACCATGGCGTGCAGGGTGGTATTCCACAACTGCGCAATGGCGCTTCCACACCACATTCCATCTCGGGGGGCTTGAGACCCCGGCGTTCCAGTTGTGGGACCCATGGCGAGACAGCCACTTCTGACAAGTGCAGAGCCAGGGGTGGGAGCATGGTGCGCGACGGAAGCTTGGCGGTCCTGCAGATAGGGAAGAAACGGTGCTTCGAAGAAGCCCACGAGGAAGCGGACCTGCAAAGGAATTGGCGCGGGCCTAGAGTTTAGAGGGGTAAACAGAACCTGAGGTCGGAACTGCGTAGATTTGGTACAGCGAGATGCCAGGCACTGTCATTAGCAGCATCGCCTTGGCTGGCGGCTGGCAGCTGGCGGCTGGCGGCTGGCGTGCCTTTGAACTTTGACCTTTCCGTGCAAATGCTGAGGGCAGCACGATGACATCAAGGATGGTGCAGACAATGACAACATAAAACTCCCCGAAGGTCCTGGGCACGGTTCGACAGTTCGACTGCCTGTCTTGCAGCTTGAAACCGGGCCTGCAGGCCCAAGGTGTGAGAGGGAGGCCCAGACAAACGCCCACCATCACCCACCTTGAGACCCAGGCCAAGCGTGCACGCAACGCAAGCACGCAAGCAGCATCACTGTCTGAGATGTAGACGATCCGAGTGCCAAGTTCATAGCCTTCGAGTTCCTCAGAAGTCTCTAACTTCTTGGTTTAAGGTTTTAACGCTCTTCGACGGCTGAGAGCAGCACCCGGGAAGCGAAACAGCTACCCCGATGTTGGAGCCGTGACCGAATTGGCAAGCAAAGAAATTCAGAAGGATAAGAAGGAAGACGACCCATCCATCTCTGTCCCTGTCAAGAGGCTTTCCAACTCCGCGTCAGAACTTGGCCGGGCTTGGCCGGGCTTGGCCTGGTCTTCTTCGCCTTCCATGGCTCTTCTGGCGCCGCTTGCGCCATCGCGTTGACTCAAGGAGTTTAGTCTCAGCTTATGGCTGCCCGTGTCGGCTCTTGCCTGGCTCTTTTCCACATGTCGAGCTCCTTTTCGGCTGGTGATATCATCCTTCGCAGCTTCGCAGTAGCTTCGCAGTAGCTTCGCATGCTGCCATGCTTCCGGATCCTAGCCAAACCGCGGAGCAGAATGGGGTAACGAGTGAGTCGGACAAGCGGAAACAACACACCTGCCCTTGACGCTGTGCTTACTCAATCGCTCTGTCAAACCGCATGCTTTCATTGGCAAAGGAAATTCCACGACCAGATCTCTCGCGACTTAATCGGCGAGAAACGCTTGAAAGCTCGCTAAAACCTCGCAGCGAATCCACTCTGCCCGAGATACTCACTGCTCTCGTGTCGAAGCGAATGGCATGCCGCATACTCTAAAAGCATGGTCACGCTGCGCGCTTCGAAACCTCTCTGGATCATTGGAAGGACCCCTCTATCCTAAACCCAGTTTGAGCACTATCATGTCTGAGTGACCACTGTTGTGAGACAAGGACCGGCTCACGGCGCAATCGTAAAGGGTTGGGCCTACTTCTCATCCTCTTGTGAATAGCCACCTGGACGCTCAACTGGCAGCCAGCACTTGTGAGAGCATTCAAGGTGCCGGCCCAGTGGGGGCAACTGGAGCTCTGAGAGGATGTCGTTGATCCTTTCAGGGCACATTACTGTCATCCTGGCCCATGGCGGGACTTTGGTCTCTCTGAGAGGAAGCTCGTCCTCTTCGCCGCCTCGGGTTCAATCTCGACGTCCTCCAGCAGCTTGATCATCTTCTCGACCCCTCGCAGTGTTAAAAGCGGCAACAGATCTGCTTGATGCTCTGCAGGCTCCGCACCTACGTCCTTGAAGCGATCAACCTCAAAAAGAGTGCAGCTCCACAAAAAGCTACTGATTCCAATCTTGAACCGGCCTTGCTCTGCAACTCATGCTTTGTGACAGCCGTGTTCCGCAGAACAACCATGCGTCGCCTGCGCACGAAGCACGAATCTGCATTTTGCTTCACTTGAAGACGAACGAACACTGAGCACGAATGTACGGAGGTCTGTTCCTGGGGGTTTCCCGGAAACTACTTTGTGTTCATGACTTCGAAGGTTAAATTCTGAACCTCGCTTTGGAACTTCGGGTGGGTAGGGGGGTGGGGGGGTTACAACAACATGATGATGACGACATGATGGTGTGGACAGGACCGAGCGTAGCAACATTTTGGCTGCGCGCTGGATTCTCAAGAATCCTGGCCTGAGCAATGTCTTGCGCACAAAAAAATCTGCTTTCGGACGGCCTGTGTGGGAGGACTAAACAAGCTGAGGTGCCTTCACACTCACTGCCGAGCCTTCTAGCCAAAAACCTCCTGAGTAGCAAAAACACAAGAATGACTGTAGACCTCAAGCCTTGAACCCGTCCCAGACTCTAAACCTCAAAACCGCAAGAAAATGAAGACTATCGATAATATCAGTATTAGTCTTTCTCGAGGTGTGCGAAGTGCGAATACCAGCGAATTTGCTCGTCTGTTGCAAACATACCGTGAAACGCATGGTTGTCTTGGTGTAATGAAGTACTTCTCGGCACTCGCACACGACAAAACCTTAGGTTTTTGCATCTTTTGTTGCAAGCATCAACACAAGAAAACCAGCAATTTCAACCGAAACGCAACAAAAAAACAACGACTATCGGACTATCGGGATTCTGTGTTTTGTCGAAATGCACGAAGTGCTGCAATACTAATGAATGCGATGCCCTCTCGCGAATACACCATGGAACCCAGGGGTTTCGTGATGTTTTCCTATCTTACTCCGCACTCCCACAAGGCAAGACCTCGAGTTTTCGCATGTTTTCCTTTTTAGAATGATGCCGAAGCCTTGTGTTCTAACATCTTCGCATGCGCACTTCCCAGCTATAAGTACGCGCGAAGACAACATGTTCCGAACGGCATAGCTGTTGCGTAGTGCAAAGTCACTGGTATTTGCGACACTTTCGAGCTCTTGCAACAACAACTTCCGCTATACTGCCCCATCCCCAGGGATTTGCCTGTACGGATCCCAACCCAAACACGGAAATCGTTTGCTTTCGCAGTGATCTCCAGCAACGATTCAGGCTCTGCTTTCCGAGGCACCGATCGGCATCCACCTTGCTGTCCTCCAGGACCTGCGAGCAGGACTCGGTAGGTTGCTGCTCTGTTCTGGACACGACGATATCTTACCTTGCCTGACCGTAGTGCTGACCTTCTGGATCTTGGTCTTTCTTGGGCTGTTAGTTTCCTGGATTCTGTGTTTTTCATAGTAATGTTCGTGATCTTGGCATCCCAGTTCGTCATCGCATCTGCGGCCTGTTCTTCCCAACGTTCTTTGATCTACTTTCTGGCCTTATTGTCATGGCTGTCATTTGCATGATGCATATTCCTCGTGTCTCTAGTTGCTTTCGTGAGATGCATTCCACTTGCATGTGCTGTCGGCTACATGTTTAACTCGTTTGTCCACCTTCTCTCAGTTAGTTGGCGTCTGGTTTAGGACCTTGCAGGTTCGACCTCCAGTCCATGGCCTCCTTCTACATCACTTGCCCGTTTGGAGCATGCTGAGTATATTCACAAGCACGATGGCAGCGGAAGCCTGTGCCCTCTGTCGGATAGCGAGGAGCTTCTCGATCTGCTGGTCCACGGCAAAAGCATTGGCCTCGGTGGCCGCCGCGGGCGCGGCGGCTGCTGCGCGTTTTTGCCAGCTGCTCCCCCTTCTGTGCTCCGCTTCTTTGCCCCGCCTTTCTTCCTCCCCTCTGCTCCGCTCCGGGTCCCGGGCCCTCCGCAGGCGCTCCCGATTCTCGGCCGCCAGCGCTGCCTCGGCAAAGAGACAAACCTGGCCCTTTGGGGGGCGCCCTTTGGGGCGCTTCTTTCGGGGGCACGCCGCTTCCCCGCCGCTCTCCGCTTTGTTTGGGCGCCCCGACGAAATGCTCGGCATCCTCGCGGGCTCGGAGGAGTTCCGGCCGTTCCTTTCGCCGAAGCCTGCCAGCAGAGCGGAAAACCCCACGGGGCTCAGCGTCTTCGGCACTCCGAGTCCCACGTCTCCGAGGCCGAGCGCTGCAGGCTCCTCGAGTCACAAAACCCACACGAAACTAAAGGTTTCGGCCTATGGATGGCCTATGAAGCAGGCAAAGCCTGCAGATCTGCAGTCCCTTTGAGCTGTGGGCCTGGACTCCCAGTTTCTTCTGAATTCTTCATGTTCCTTTTCCTTCTCGGCCAGCAGCCTCTCATACCTGAAGGACAAACCGTGCGTGAAAATATTTCTGTTCTGGCCTCTGCTCCTTGCTCCCTGCCTGGAGACAAACGCCTGCCGCTTCTTGCTATTCGTTGTCTGCGGATAGGACGGATACAACGTTGCCAGTGGAAAAAGAGCTCCCTGCACACACCACTCATTCTCGAGCCTTGAACTCTTTCAGTCTATCCTTCAGCCGATCATTTCGGAAGTCTTCCGCCTGACAGCCATCTGGAGTCTGGAGGCTATCCCTATGGCTGAAGTGCTCATGGCAACAGACTTTTGCTGCCTTGCTATGCCGTTCAAGAGCTTCGCCATATTTCTTTTCGTTCTCTGCCTAGGCCACTAGGCAAAAGCAGGTGGGGAACGTGGGGTATGATGGTACTTGAAGAACAACGGATGCCTGCTGCTTCGCGAGGTACTCGGCCACCTGAGCGAAGCGGAATACAAGTCGCCAGTCATTGAGGCGGCCTTAAGCTGTGGATTCACGACTGATTTCTTGAGCCCCGACTCGTTGCCGACACTGCATCTCTTTGTGGAGCATTGCCTCCTTGTTGGAGACCCTGAGACGATACATCGCTAATTGTGCAGTAAAGCATGGCCAAGCCACAAAGGGACACAGCCACAGCCTCTGGCCCAACAGCTCTTCAAGCCTGAGCTCAAGTCACGACACTGGAACAGGAGACAATCGAAACTCAAGCTTGTAGGGGGCGTGCAACTGGCGTTTCCTCAAGTGTTTCTCCTCTATTTCGTCGTGCATGTCCTCATCGGTCTCTGACATCGCCAAACTCAAGCGTGCTGATGTGTGCTGGCAGTGCTCCTCGCGCTTGCGCAGCAACATGTCTTCGAATGCGGCCTGTTGCTGCAGGCCACGCCAACACCAAAGCAATGTCCCGACAGCGAAAAAGCGTCGCCTTCTGCTTCCGGGCTTCGATGCCCTTCACCTAGGATATCAGTGTTTGGAGCTTCTGAGCCTCCGATAAGGAAAACGCTAGGCACCTGTTTGGACTCGATGGAATCGTCGTGTGCCTGGCGAATGTCGGCAAGGCATTTTGCCACTCGATCATCAGCCTCACGCGGATGCCGACTGCAGAAGGCAAACCGCAACAATGCAGCTGTCTCCCTCGATTGCCTCTTTCAGCTCTTGCCGAAGCTCTTCGCAATGTGCTTGCAGTTGCCGGTCGGCACGGTCCCGAGCCTGTGAAAAGGTCATGCCTGGCGCTCGCCGGAACTCGAAGGCACGAGACCTCCTTGGACTTTTCCCTTCTCTTCTCGGCCTGTTGAGCACAGTCTATGAGGCAAATCAGAGCCTGGCCGCCGGTGCTGCCTCCTTCTGCATCGCTCTGAGCTTATCGTCCCTCTCCTTCTTCAGCTCTTTCATGCGCTTCACGTTCTCCTTCCAGCATAAGCTGTTACCCCTCCGGAACAGCGGAACGGACTGTCCCAAGCATTACACTCCCTCACACTTCCTCCAGCCAAAATATGTCTGTGTGTCTGTGTGTGTGTGTGCGCCTCCTGCTTCTTTTTTCCTTTTTCGAACTCCAGTCGACTCTCGAGCTCCTGGGAGCGGTGTGTTGCAAACGGCACCATACCACATGAAAAAACACCGGATCCTTTATGACGGTCTTCTGAATGTCTTTCTGGCAGGGGCGCTTTTTGGCACTCGAATCGCTCTGGAACGACTGACTGAGCCTTCGCCATTCGTGCCATGACCTCCATACTCTCCTTCTCCTTACGCAAGACCTCTGAAACGGTCAAAAACTTCTGCCCATGACGTCAAGTGAAATGTCCACGGGCCAGGCTTCCTCCAGAAAAGAAGCGTTCAAATCACCTTCACCCATAACGGAAACACAACGCATGTGGATGCAGACTGCGTGATAGCGAGCGCCTGCCGACCTTCCAAGTTCATGGCCGTCGCCACCCTGAAGAGTTCAGGATCAAGCATCTGTTTCAATGTAGAACGTTGCGGCTGTCTCACTTGAAGCCTGCCTGCGGTCCTCTTGCCGCCAACATCGACACCTTGCAAAGCATTCCTTACCAAGCCTCACAAGTGAACAAGATGGTTGGGACTCGGAACTCAGGACTCAACATGCCCGATCAATGTGCGCCGCTTCTTCTCAAACAGCAGATGTTTGTTCTGCAAGCAAAAGCACGAATTCTTTTGCAGCATTTGATGGACACCTGACGCACCTGGTTGCCGTCGTAATCTAGCTCTTCCTGCTAGGGCCAACGCACAGTTGCATTCGCTCATCGCCACTTGCAGCATCTCGCAACCTTCTTGTCTAGTTCGGTGGGGATGATGCCCATCACCCGCATCGCCGCCCGAACCCGAGGTGACCTGTGCATACGACATGCATTTACGAACGCCAGATGCAGCACAATTTTTGCGTTTCCCCGTGTTTCGAGGACTGGACTGCGGATTGGGGGCCGGAGGCGCTGGTGGCAACATCGCCTGCACCAGCACGTCCAATTGTTAAAGACGTTTGCCACGTCCGAAGTTCGAACCCTTTCCCTTGAAAGCCTCTGCCATGGCCGACACTGAATGCAGGATGCCAAATGCCGTATTAATTCCCTTCACATGTTGGGCAACTCTCACTTCGAGATCTTTCAAGTCATAGAGGCAAACAACTGATCATGTTGAACATATGATTTCGCCTCTCACGCGACATCTGTTGGCTGAGCCTTTCCAGAACTAAGCAAAGTCGATGCAAGCTTCCGTTCCGCTTTCTCGTCAGATTTCTCCACAAATCGTCAATTTTTGGGAAACACGTTCGGCACAGACGCTGCGGTTATTGTTGGATATATATATATATACACATGTGTATATATATATATATGTGTGTATACATGTGTAAGTACATTTGTTTACTTGGTCGAAAACGGGCGCAATGCATAAAACTGGGAGCTTCATCAACTGTACATTGGATGTGAAACTCCTTCAAACATGCTTGTTTACCTGTCTTGGCGAAACACCAAGCCGGAAACACATAATTGGAAAACATCGTAATCGAATACTTCAATATTCCACATACATGTGCAATCACTAACGCTCCACTTTGTTGACTCGAGAAGGGAAACTCCGTGCCCACGTTGGTCCGCGCCTGGAAAACACGCGGCTGGGACGCAAGAGCGCGCATCTGCACTTGTTTGAGATCTTCGGCCGCACATTCGGCTCGAAGATGGACAGGCATTATGAAGTTCATCGGAGTTTCAAAAAACATGTAGATAGCATTAATGTTTACGATAAGGGTGACATCGATAATGATTCGAATTGAAAGAGTTGCTCATGGAAAACATGTTGCCCGAATATGTGGGCGACCAATATTTGAGCGGCATATAAGCGGAGACCTTCATCTGCATTCAGATGCTGCCCGAATTGATACGTGGGCTGACGAATATATCTAACCATATGAAATTAGCACAGCGACAATGCGGACCACTCGATTGTTTTGCTCTCATTGGCACACTGGGGCTGAAGATCATGCCGGGCCACATCGACCCCGCAATGGAAAGTGAGCCACTGCTCACATTTTCTGCTCGGTTTGCCATGCACATCTTTATATCATTTCCCCGGGTCGGGAGGGTGGGACAAATTTTTTCCTCAGCCACTGCTTGAGGAATGTTTGGCATCAGCATAAGAGTTGTTCATGTCCCACAAAGTCACATGTCAGGAAAGTAAAATTGCATGGTGAAAAGAAGAATTGACATACATGACAAAATACATATTCCATCCTCTCGCCCTATAAAGTTCTTGGTTTCCACGGAGCTTTGGTTTATTCAGGTTTCGCTATTGAATCAATCCAATCATAATATTCCCAAAGCTATGTGGGAAACTGCTTGAATAAAATTGCTATAAGAAATATTCTGACAGGAGTCGGCCACCTTTTCCTTCCGGCAATGCCGAAGGGGGAAGTCGTGAGCATCCGGCACCGATCGATGGTGAACCTACACGGATCGCCAGCGAACACCCCCGGGAGGGAGGGAGGGAGGGAGGGAGGGAAAACTTTCGGCCCTATGGCCGGGGAGAAGCTACCCATCCCAACCTTATTCCAGGCGGCGCAGAATCAAAAATTAAAAAATCGTTCAACAAGCAGATAAAACAAACAAAAATTAAAGCAAAGGCGTTTTGAAAACTCCTTCCTAAATTTTTCGAAGCTCTCCCAGGAAAATACAGCTAATGGAGGCTCCGCCTCATGAGTCGCTTATGTTCCACGGAGCTTTGCTTTGTTTAGGATTCGCTTTTGAATCAACCCATGCAAAATATTCCCAAAGCTATATGGGAAACTGAATGTATAAAATTGCTATAAGAAATATTCTGACAGGAGTCGGCCACCTTTTCCTTCCGGCAACGTCGAAGGGGGAAGTCGTGAGCATCCCGCACCGATCGATGGCAAACCAACACGGATCGCCAACGAACACCCCCGTTCAAGAAAGATGGAGATACGGCATGGGATTGCCTTCGATCGGACAGAGGGGCGCAAACTCTCGTCACCGAGCCTCGAGTCGGAAAGTCCAACTTTCTACGAGACGGATTTTTTGACTTTCAACCGCGGTCTGGTCTGACCTACTCGCGAGATACGCGGTGTCTCACCGCGGCCACTCAGGATGGCAACTACCTCTTTACGGACGCTGCTTCGACGCAAGTGGCGAGCCCTTGAGCTTCTTTTCGGTAGATCTTAGCAATTGTCAGATGAATCAGTTAGGAGCTGATAAGAGCAGCGCCGTCATCTTCAAAGCGGAGTTATGTGCGGTCCTGCTCGGGTTCGTGCTTTTTCGGCAGGCTTTGATCTCGAGGCCTATTGTCTGTTACGTGGACAATAACGGCACCCGTGACGTGCTGCTGATCTCTGGCGCCGCTAGAAATCTTGTTGGAGCTAGGCTGGCCAAGCGTTTCTTGACGATTGAAGATTTGGCCAGGGTGTTCACATGGTTCACTCGGGTCCCGAGCCCGTCAAACATAGCCGATGGTCCTTCTCGGGAAGTGATGTCTGCTATGACCCTTGAGGGGACAATCCTTGAGCATAGCAGACTCCAGCAAACACGGATAAGTGGGGGTGGTGTGTTGCAGCTCTCTTGAGCACCGTGGGTGCATCTCTTGATGTGCTCGATGAGCTCCGATCACTTCTTGCTTGAGGTGCGTTTTGCAGTGCAACCTTGCACTCAGTGTGTAGGGCGTTGCAAGCGCCCGCCTGCTGCAGTAGCATGGACATGTGCAGCGCAGTGAGGCTGTATGCCTCCAGTCAACATGCGTTCCCACAGTCACCGATGGTGCTAAAACGAGTGAGTGCACGTCATTGCATCTTTCATGTCGCTGAGTGAACTGTGTTCGAGTCGCATGACTACAATGATTCTGGAGTAACACTTGGACGTCAGATACTTTGACATTTACTTGCAGTGATTTTGCCTTTTTGAAAAATGCTTTCTCTTAAGTTGGCTCAAGGCTTTAAGCTACCGGTCAATCGGGTTTGATAGTGTTTTAAAGCCGGCCAACAAAAGTTGTTTGTGGGTGCTTCAAAAATGTCGTGAAAGCATTTCTCGTACTCCTTTAGTTTTGCGGAACCACTTGCATTGCGTTTGGAGTGCGCCTCTGGAAGAGCTGAATTACCGAATTCGCTCGCTGTCTTGAGCGCCCAAGCATGCTGGGGTGGGGCAAATTTTTTTAATCCCGCCCAACCCGCCCTGTGCAAAGCGGATGCCCTGTGTTTCCCACTCCTTGACGTGCATACTTGCGGAATCATTTTTCGTCTTGCGGGGGTGGTGTGTTGCAGCTCTCTTGAGCACCGTGGGTGCATCTCTTGATGTGCTCGATGAGCTCCGATCACTTTTTGCTTGAGGTGCGTTTTGCAGTGCAACTTTGCACTCAGTGTGTAGGGCGTTGCAGGCGCCCGCCTGCTGCAGTAGCATGTACATGTACCGTGCAGTGAGGCTGTATGCCTCCAGCCAACATGCGATCCCACAGTCACCGATGGTGCTAAACGAGTGAGTGCACGTCGTTGCATCTTTCATGTCGCTGAGTGAACTGTGTTCGAGTCGCATGACTACAATGATTCTGGAATAATACTTGGACTACTTGGACGTCAGGTACTTTGACATTTACTTGCAATGATTTTGCCTTTTGAAAAATGCTTTCTCTTACGTTGGCTCAATGCTTTAACAAGTGGACCGATCCCCAGTTTGGGGGTTTACAGATCGAAGCGGACATCAGCAACACTGAGTACGGCCACACTACGGAAATCTGCGCATGTACTCACGCCTGGAATCATCCACTCGACTCGTGGCTCTGGGGATGCAGAGCGATGTTCTGAGAGCTGCACTTGCCGATCGTGTTCACCGCCTTCGCTCAAAGTGAAAAGCTGCTAAACTCTTGATCCGAGCCTGGGACCTATGCAAGGCATACAAGAACCTGGCGCTTCACTCTGAGTCCATGTCTGATGCTTATCTGGCGGTATGGAACCCGAAGCTCAAGCAAACTGAGATCTATGGGCAACTCGGGCTACCTTTTGGAGCACGCTCCAGTGTTCATGGATTTTGTAGAGCACCCCTTGCAATCTGGATCATAGGGGTCAAGATTTTCATCCTTCACTGGGGCGTCTATTTTGACGACTTCGTTGGTTCAGAGATACCTGAATTGTCGAAGATGTTTGACCTCTGTGTTGACGGGATCTTGTCGATCTTGGGGTGGACAACGGCGGCTGACAAGGGCTCCTACTTCGACCGCGTTGCAAAGGTTCTTGGCCTCAAAAGAAACTTGAGTGAGTGCAGCATCGGGGTCATCCTCTTCGAAAACACCGAAAGCAGACGTGACAAGGTAGTGGAAACCCTATCTGAGATTATGTCTGCCGGCTTCTTGAGTAGCAAGGATGGCGAGCGACTCCGAGGTCGTTTGCAGTTCGATGCGCAGCAACTTTCCGGCAAGCGTGCAGGCTTGGCCTTTCAGTCTCTGTCCAAGCATGTGTCTAAATGGGGTGGCAAACTAGATGATTCTGTTTTGGGTTCTCTTGAATTCCTTAAGTCCCATGTAGCTACATCCCCAGCGAGACGTATTTCTGACCGATCATGCTACACCTGGCACTTGTCCGTCGACGCCTCACATGACGACTCGAAGGCTGGCATCGGCGGCATTCTTATCTCGGAGGGCGGCGCATTCGTCGGCCATTTCAGCGAGTATCTTGACGATGAGACACAGGCACTGATCAATACTACCTCAAGCGAGAATCCTATATTCGAGCTAAAGTGTTTTGCCATATTACGAACTTTTCCACTATCCTCGAGCAACAAAAGCCTTCAGGTATCTCAGAATCCGCATGTGCACGACTACAAGAGCGAAAGTAAAATGCATGATGAAATCAATGTAAAACCATGCCAACGAATACGGGAAAATCGTTCGTACCCCGCCTCAGGCTGTTCCATTGGCGAATGGGCAGACTGTTCGTGAACGATTCCCAAAGTATAAAACAACAGCTTGTACGACGTTTTAAACACGCTCCAAGTGCACATGTTCTCACTAGCGTATTGGGCTTGATTTAGCCGGCTCAAGGCTTAGCTCGAGTGCTACGCAACTACGTGTAGACTGTACACTACACTGCCTACGGAGTTGTATCCACGACCTTAAGCCGAAGACACAACTGCATGCTTGACTGGCGCACGCGGACGCCCTCGCAAGTTGTCAAGACAAAGGGCGGATTCATGATGGATCATGCGCTCTCGCGCCCAGTCGAAAATTCGGTGACGGCCTAGTTACCGCCAATGGGTGCCAAACGCACCTCAGCAGCTGAGAGCCGCTCCACGGCTCAAGGGATTGTGGCATTGCTCGGATTGGCAGCAAAATGCTGCATATCAAGATTCAAGTGATTTCAAGCCGTCCATCGCACGTTGTCAAGCTATGTACAGGATCCACCAGCAGCCTGTCAATCAATTGCGCCGTGGCACAAAGGACTGACTATGTACATGGCATCCAATGTGCCTCATGAGCATTATAAAGCAAGATCAAGCGTACGATGCAGCATCACAAGAAACTCGGCACACCCATCAAGGTTTGCATATGCGGCACGCGCTGTAGCCGCGCTCCTCGGCAACTGCCCGCGACACCTCGGTGACGCCAAGCGACTGGTTCAGCTTGCCACATGTAGCCTTATGATAAGCGTATCCTTGACTTGTCGAAATCCACACGCCGTCTGCGCTTCGGGCTTGTGGCACCCGGCGCTGCGGAATCGGGCGTGCTCTCGGAATCTTCTCGGATCTCCCACTGGCCTCGCTGTTCGATCTCAGCACATCGCTGGATGACCCTGGTCTGCCTGCATGGACCTCGTGCGCACCAGGGCTCTGGGCTCGCTCATCATCGTCCTCAATCTTCGGTCGACTCGCGGTTTTGGGCCGCGCTCCACGCACTTGTTCACCAGCCTTGGCCTTGGGCTCACTTCGGGATGTTCGGACATCAACCGCAACTCCAGACGCGATGCGCACCTGCACAGATGCTTCTGGAACATCTGTCATCCGCCGGCCACAACACATGAATGCACACATCAAGAATGCAGTGATTGCAACGCACTGGCACACCGCAACACATGTTGAAGGGTATGCTTCATACACTGCAGATGCATAGCCGACGATCTGTACCAAGGATTCAAGAATCGCATCAAGAATGGTCAAAGTCGCGTCGTCGTCCTTGGCATCATCGCCATCCTCTGCACCCAGGCTTCCAGTTGCCTGCATGGCAATCAAGATCACACTAAGGATGCGGGCGGTGTTTGCCGTGGCATCACCCTTTGCGATCTTTGACAGATCCTTGCACACATTGCGAATGGCCTGGACATTGCGCTCTGTGCTCAAGATTGCATCTCCAACCCTAGCATAACCATTTCGGGAATCTCTAAACCCAATCAGGCCAAGCAGAAACTCCGTGCGCTGCACACCAAGGAGCTTCGTGCCAATGTCCGCGACATTGGTACGCGTGGGTGCCGGCAGCACCTCCAGCAATCCTTCCGCAACCCGTTGTTGCGTCCATAGCAACTTCACATCAAGATGGCGCACACGCCCGACCCCGGCGCGTTGAAGGATCGCGCGGGCAGCGGAATTGTCAATCATCAAGAGCGGTGGTGTCGTTGGCTCTGGAGACACAAACCGTATCATGCTTGCAACAAGGGTTCCATCTATCGCGGCTGACACCGCGGCACCAAACTCGGATTCCGCACTGGAGAGTGCGATCGACTTTTGCGTTTTGGACGCTGCGTGGATAAACTTGCTGTTGCAAAGAATCACAGACGACGAGACAGAGCGTCGGGTGGATCGGCATCCACCCCAGTCAGCATCACTAAAAGTCTCGATGACATTGATCCCTGGGCGATGCACTTGCACACCGTGTCCGATGCCTCCGGCCGTAAGGCATGCACAGTACCCCTCAGTGGCACTCAAGTAACCGACCAAATGCCGCAGGATTGCCCATGCCCCAACGGTCGGGGACGACATAAAGCCTGACAAGTGGCGAATGCTGTGCATGGCATGCGGGAGGTCTGACTGCAGGTAAAGCAACACTCCAACGGCTGATCGAAAGCGAAATGCCTGATCCTGGGACAATGGTGCATCGTCCTCCTTCTCCGTGGGCAACCGCCCGGACGGGAGAGGTGATTTTCGGTGCTTGGGATGGCCGCACAAAGATTTCAACTTTTCCAAGTGTTTTGGGCTCACCTCAATCAGCAACTCTGTGCTCGACAAAAGATAATGCCGCTTCTTAAGAAAATGAACCTCCTGGCCTGGCACCGAAATCAAATTCACAGTCACTTTGTAATCCCTTTCAAGATCATCAGTCATGCACTTGATCACACTTGCAGGTCCTGTGCCAAGCAAATCATCGACGTGCACAAGTCCCCCGCCTCCGCCGTCCTCAGGCTGGAACCGGAACAGCGATGGCACCTCTTGCATCAGCTCGACACGGCTTCCGACTTTCAGCGCATCGGTGAACTGGTAGAACCAGGTCTGGCTCCCTTCCCGCTGGCCCGGAAGGAGCCTGAGAAGCTTGAAATACAAGCGTTCACCATTGATCATGACACTTGTGCATGTGTCCTCTGCCTGCGGGCAATTCAAGTAAGCATCCGTAACATCTAATGATACCAACTGCCAACCGTTATGGTAGTTGTCAATGAAGACACATGGGATGATCTTGCTTTGCAAAGCATTCGATGCAGGGGAAAACAGATCGGTACGGCCTGGGCACAAAAATGCAAAATCACGTGCCACAAGCCTGGCTCGCCGGAGCCAGTATGTGCAACCTGCAATGGTCTTGCAGCGCCATGTTACCACAAAACGAGTGGTCAAGTGCTTGTGCTCTGGCAGGATCTGTGCACAACGCTCAAGAGCAGGAATCCCAAGGAGACGATCAACCTCAAACTGCATTGCAACTGCATCTACATGTGCAAGCTGCTCAGCGCTCAGCTCTGGCTCATGCTCACTCCAAGGGACCAACAAGCACTCAGGAATGCTTGACTCCGGCCGCGTGTCATCATGGGCTCCATCGGCCTCCGCGGCATAATCAAAATCCTCTAAAATTTCACCCTCAAATTCAAAATCATTCTCCTCGTGGTTGTGGTACATGTCGACACCTTCAAACGTCACAGCGTCAAGACGAAGCCGTTTGCGTGGCTCGTTTGCACTCGGCTCAGCAGCCCTGGTAGGCACACGTACGGCCGCTGGCTCAGACGAAGAAGCAGGATCGGACGATCCCGTGGCATGATCAGCATTTGGCGCCTCGGCTAACACCTCAGCGTCTGGCACTACAGCCAGAGGCGAACTCACAACCTCTGCATCGGAAGGTGCTGGCTGCAATGGCGTGACAGGTCCACTGTCCTCCTGCATGGGCGTCGGTGGCTCTGGCACAAAATCACTTCTGATGGCTGGTGGTGGCACAAGTTCACTCAGCGGTGCATTGTCAGGAAGAACATAGCCAGGATACGGCAGTGGATCCGCACCGGCCGGGACACTCTCATCTGGCCGTGGCTCTGGAGGTGCTTGTTGTGCATCACGTGTTTTCTGCGGCCTGCACTGTCCAACTTGGCCCGCAAGAAAAGCAGCCTGGGAATAGGGATGATCACGCAGGCGCTTTGCAAAATCAGCACTCCTTAAGTAAGTTTGCGGTAAGCGACGAATCGACCTGCAAGCAAGAAAATGTCCCGAAGCAGTGAAGACTATGTGGCCGTCGCTACACCCAAGTTTTCCCAACCACAAACCTATGCCCCATCGGGGTTGTCCCTTCACAGCACTTTTAACTCTTCCATAAACTGTCTCACCAATGCACACAAGCTTGCCCTGATAGGGCCGCCCACACGCCAGCTCGAACGGAGTCTGGCCTTGCGATCTTGTGAACCGCTGCTGAATGAAACTTGCATGCCGCCATGCCCATGCGTGCATTGCATCCAACGATGCCACCTTGACACCTGCACGGGACTCAAACTCAGAAAGCAACGTGTTGGTCAGCTGTCGAAGGGTCTCGACCGCAGGTTCGGCCGCATTGGCCGCATGATCATCAGGCTCACTCTGCTCAAGATGGGTCCGCAATCCAAGTCGAAGACGCTGGGCTTGCACAAGCTTTTGCAACGACAAACACACCGGCTCTGGGTCACTGCGCAGTGTGACCTCGCTGTGGCCTAAAGTCGCGATCCACCTCTGTAAGCTCTGATGTCATGTACCTGAGCTGCAGATTGCCGCCCTTGGCCGGAACAGGCCAAGCTTGATTTGCACCGGTAAAATTGCAAGACGCAACTAGGCACACGAGCTTCTGCTCAGGGGTCTCAGGCCGACTCGTGTAAGCAAAATCAAAACAAATTGTCGCATGCTCACGGTCGCCAACAGGGTGCCTCTCATGTCTATCAGAACGGGCACGATGCTGAACACATTCAGCGCACCATGCTTGGAATGGCATGTGCGTCAGCGAATGCTTGCGCACTTCATCCTGGGATGGCTCTCGCACTGGCGCCTGCTCACGAGGCAGCTGCACATCAGCCGGAAGGTTGGCCCACAGAAAATCGTTTCGCGCAAGAAACTCCTTGATCTTCTTAAGAACTGTCGCCTTACCACCCGACTTACCTATCCCAAGACTCTGTGCCGCGGCCCGCAACGTGGCGAGGGTGCAATCAAGGGTCAATTCAGTGCCATCAACGACAACAGGTTTCTCACCGGGAGCGTTACCCGCTGCACCGGGAGACTCGCCTTCATCTGCATCTCCTCCGTTGGCTCCCAAGTCAACGCCGCCTGCATCAATGTTGACATCCAAGTCCATGGCAGCATCGGGAGACGGGTCACCGTCTGACTCCTCTGGCACTGGCACTGCCACAAGCGGGTGATCAGAGTGCTCAGGGAACAACTGGCGAACATCAAGCCGGTACGTGGAACCAATCGTGATGGTCTCATACATCTTGGGCCTTGGAAATGCAGCCTCGAACCTAGCCTCAAAATCATCCAAAGTTGACAGATCCTCGTTCAGCGTATGCAACATCCAGCCACGCGGGCTGTTGTGCAATGTGGTCCTGAAAGCAATCGGCAGGCTAGGGAAAGCCAATGTGCAATCAACGTAGCACAGGCTTGTGCACTTGTTTGCCACCAGACCTGTGTCAATCTGCGCAAACGGCGCTTTGAGCGACAACCAAGGGCCATGCAATGTCACAGTCAATGCATTCACGTGAAAATCGCCCTGAGGTGTACTGGACTGCGATTGTGGTGCATGAGGTTCGCAAGAACTGGTCTGCGATTGTGGTGCATGATGTTCACTGGGGCTTGCTGGCGGATGCCCCGCCTGCCCCGCCTGCGGTGCATCGCTCTGCATGACTCTGATGCTACCCCTGACACACAGGGAGTTGTGCTTCATGAACACGGGGACCCCATAGGCTTCATCTCCCGGAAAAGCTTTAGCTCATTGTTCACACGGCCAACCGTAAACCCTTGGCGGTAAAGCTTGCCTAAGCTCAACAAGGGAGTAGTCACGGGGCCTATCAACCAGGTTTCCGTTATGGTCAAGGGTCCAAGGTCAAGCTTTGCATTGCGCACCGACGTAGGAGAAATCACATTCCCTTGTGCATCACGGAACGTTGCTTGCAATGGCGGCGCTGAGGTCCCGGTGGAACCAAAGGCCGCAGGAAGGCACGAGTGATCGGCCCCACTGTCAAGCACAATCTCGATGTCCTGATGGATTGCACACACCTGATGCTCTGGAGCAAAAGTCACAACACTCAAGGATCCATTCGCAAACGTCCATTCCCCGTCACTGTCACTGTAGCTCATGTCATACATTGGGGCAGCTGGCTCAAAGTTGCGCACAAGAGAATCAGGCACGGTCATGGCAGGGAGTGTGGCATGCACAAGATCAATGAATTCACTCGGGAAAGGCTCGAGTGGCACCAAGTCCGGTTTGGGCGCGGACGTCGCCTCGCTCGGGTAGGGCTCGAGCAGCACCGGGTCCGGTCTGGGCGCGATCGCCTCACTCGGGTTCGGCTCGAGTAGCACCTCATCGCTCGGGTATGGCTCGAGCAGCACCTGGCCCGGTCTCGGCGCGGACATCGCCTGTGTGATCATGTGAATGCCTCCACTGCCTGTGCCACTGCCAACTGCACTCAAATCAATCTCAATGCGACGCACTGCTGTGGTGGCCTGGGACGCTGCCTGGGACGCTGACGGCCCCACGGTGGATGCTGCAGCTTCCGACGGAGTCGGATTGTTGACAACCTGATGCACATTCGCCTGACCTTTGCTGCGCCAACACTCTGCGGCATAATGGCCTTTACGACCGCAGTTGTAACACTCCACCTGTGACTTGTCGCCTTTGCCCTTGCCTTTGCCTTTGTCCTTGCCGGGCTGCTTGCCACCTTTGCCTTGATCCTTGCCTTTGCCACCCTTCGGCTTGCCTTCATGGGGAGTCTGGGCATGCTGACCTTTCTTGCCGCCTTTGCCTTTGCCTTTGTCCTTGCCTTGCGGTTTGCCACCTTTGCCCTTAGGTTTGCCCCACTGCACGGCATCAATTTCCATCTGCGTTGCCTCATCATGCCTCTGAGCTGTGGCCTCGCGGACCGTCCCAAAGTAAGAAACAGATTGCCACTTGAAATGCTGACGCTCGATCCTCAGGCTTGCCTCTCGCACCTGAGTGTAAGTGGCATCCTCAGGCAAGCTGGCATATATCTGATTCTTTGTGTTAGCAGGCAAACATCGCAGAAGAAGTGCAGTTTTCACGCTACCCTGAAGGGTCTCTGAAGCTGACTGTTCATAAGAAGTGAAAACCCGTTCCAAATCAAGGATCTGCGGAAGCAAGGCCTCGGAGGGCTTGAAAGAAGGCACCTGGGTGATCGCTGTCAAGATGCCCAAGCTGCGCCCCTGAGAGCACGGGGCAAAGAGGCTCATCAACTGACGCAAGGCTTCCAAACCGTTTCCACTCTCGGTCTGTCGCACAATCATGTAACCTCTGCCACGAATGAGGGCAGCCAAAAGCGAATACAGCTGACGTGACCTGGCTTGCTGTGCAATGGTGCCCTGGCCCTTTGCTATCACTGAACCAGGGTTCGCCTCCAAAGCTTCAAGGTCGGGCCCATAGCCCGGATCAAGAGCTGAAAGGTATTGCTGAAAACTCCAAAACCAACCTGGCCACGATGTGTGCTCCTGCTCTCTAGTGCTAGCTGCAAAGACCTCAGGCTTCGGCAACACACGCAGCATGTCCTTGCCAGTCAAGGTTGGCGGACCGTCCCGAGAGGATGTCGCCGCCGCTGCCGCTGCTGCTGCATCTGATGCTGCACGGGTTGCTTCAGCCAACTGTTCAAACAAAGCATTCAGCTGGGCAGGGCCTAACACTATCTGACCTTGGGAAGGTGAGGCAGCTGGGCTCGCAAGGAAGGGATTATTGGGCATCGGCTGGGGAAGCTGTGGGCCTACAGCCGCTTCAAGCTCTGGCAGATCATCATCAATGTCATCCACCGGCACATGTGCAGCCTGTGCACCTTGCTGAGCCATGGCACTACAGCCTGGCTTGTGAGCCGGCGTCTGCAGGCTACCCGCCGCGCTTAACGCCTAAAGTTGCACAATCAAAGACCTTGGTTCCTGAACGGATCTCGCAACGCAAAACCCAGAAACCAAAGACGTGTCGTGATGTTGTTGCTTGTCACTACCTCTCTGTGTTGGGGATTGGGTCCAGTCCCCGAACCACGGCACCAGGAGATCCCAGAAATCCTGGCTGTACCGCGGCTCCGCTACCATACGAACTTTTCCACTATCCTCGAGCAACAAAAGCCTTCAGGTATCTCAGAATCCGCATGTGCACGACTACAAGAGCGAAAGTAAAATGCATGATGAAATCAATGTAAAACCATGCCAACGAATACGGGAAAATCGTTCGTACATATGGTGCGGGCTATGGACTTGGGCTCAGCTTTTCCGCGGGACCCAGGTGATCATCTTCACCGACAATGAAGGGGCACTTCACAGCATGATCAAAGGGCGCAGCGAGAACGACGCTGGTGGGCTCATCGTATCTTCTACTCACGACATTCTTGACATGAACTTCATCAATCCTTATTGGTTCGAGCGCGTGAACACCAACTCGAACATCGCTGACGAGCCTTCTCGTGGGATTTCCAATTTTGAGTGGGGTCTCAGGGCCCGCGTTGATTTCAAGCATCTCGCACAATTGGCGATCGGAGCGAGGGGTGGTGTGCCATCGTGCGAGGCTGTGTCCTCGGCGATGTCGGTTGGGTCTTCGAGGGCACTTGTGGGACACGTCCGAAAACTCGGAGTGTCAAATCTCGAATTCGTCACCCTTTGACTCTCCGACATCGATCAAAAAGGACTTTCCAATATGAAACCAATGTTGAAATCGTATTCTTTGATTGGAGATCGATTCCCACTGTTCATATTATTGTGTGATTTATATGCAATAACCAGAATTTGGAAGATTTCCGTCTCAAATTTGTACATTTCAATACGGTGACCGTTATGGTGGCTCATGTGCTCGTTTGGGAATCGAGAATAAGAGTGCCGTTCCATCTTTCGTCCTTTGCTCTGACCTGTGCCTAGACCCCCGAAATGGGGCACCTCTGACTTTACCACCCCTGCTTGGAACTTTGCCAGTCCCGGCGGATCTAGGTGCGTTTCCTGGAGCAAAGTGAACCGGCCAAGGTGTTGGCAATGTCCTTGAAGGATCTCTGGCCGCCAGGTTGCAATGTTGGCCGTGGTGATCACAATCTGCGCGCTCAGACTTAAGGACTGGAAGAAGGTTCCCGCTGAAGCCCTTGAGGAGGGGTCTCGGAAGCCCTCCGTCCTCGACGTGCTGCATCCATTGGTAGCCCAGCATGTAAGGTGGTGGCAAACTCGACTCCAACACAGTTTGGGCCTGCTGGTGCTTGCAATCACCGATTCCAAGAGCGAAGCCAGCTGACTGCTCGGTCCCTCCTCCAGGTGAGGAGGCGGGCTGCCCTTCTGGGTTGCTTTCTGCCTTTTTGCCTTCGGTTTTTGCCGCCCTTGGCAAGAGGATTCGGCTCTTGCCGTCGGCACCCTCCTGCTTCCGGCGGCCATGAGTCCGCCTCCGGCGGTGTTTCCTGATCTGCGCCGGTCCAAGTTCTTCCTTGGGATCCGCAGTCTCTTCCAAACAGTCCGAGACAAAACCGTGCAGGGCAGGGAAAAACCTTGCATCCGTGACCCGGCTCTTGGCCACCGAAACATGTTGACACGCGATGCCGCAAAACTGCGCCCGTAGGTTGCAAACGTGTGGCACAGGTGCCACGTGACACAGTGGATGGCCAGCTCCCAGGCACACAGAGCGCCTGCACGCACTCAAGCTGGCCTCTATGATGCTTCTCCAGTCTCCTTGGGTGCAGCCTCTGTCCGGGCTCCCTCCCCCGGACATGCTGATCCTTCCTCGCTGGGCCATACATCCCAGTAAGCAGTTCGGCTCCTGCGAGCAAATGCTCAGCCTCCAAGTAGTGTGTAGTGTGGCTTGGCCGACACCGGAGTCAAAACACGCGGAGGGCCCTCCCTCAGCAAGAAAAGAAAAAAACTATCGCCCGAAACATCTCGTCACCGAGCACCATCTCCTCCGAGGCTTGACACAATCTGATTGCTCGCGCGCAATTTCTGCTTGACCTGCCGAACAGCTGACCACCTGCAAACAGCATGCGCCCTCTGAGTCTTTCAAGGTCCTTGCCGGTGGCATGCCCCACATCAAGTAGAGCGTCCAACACGGTCGCAACTTCAGTCACACGCTTCTGAGTGTTTGTGAACAAAACCTCCCCGCGCAAGTACCGCTCAAAAGTTATCCAAATTCCTAGCGCCCCAAACTCCCTTGCGAAGTGCTTATCCTTATCCTCCGAGACTTTCCAACCCAACAGTCCAAAGAAATTATGGACGGTCTTGTTGACGAGCTGTTCCTCGCCCTCCTTGCAGAATGTGACGAAGTCGTCGAAGAAATGGGTGACCATGGAAGCTTTACAAGAAGCCACCATAGACTATGAGCAATTCTCAGATACCCAGAAACAGCCCTGCTGGCCCCGAAGGGCAAAGCGAACATGCGTCGCACAATGCAAGCACCTCTCGTTTTGGAAGGGTAAGCAATGAAGGCTTCTTTCAAGCTGTTCAAGGGAAATGGGCACTTGTTGATAAGCTGCTTTCAAATCGAAACACTTTCCCCGCATCAAGATTCCGGGCAGGACTGTCAGCATATACAAACACTTATTCTCTGTTGTGGACCGCGACATGTACAATCATTATGATTGCGACCAAATTTCCCATCAGGAATAGAATATACCGAATGCCAAACATTCGAATATATCTTCTCAAGTACAAATTATCACATATTCGAATCAAGCAGAGGCTAACACAGGTCTTCATTTTCCGCACTGGGGGATGCTGCGATCCCTGGAGTCACCCCCTTCTTGAAAGGAGAGTGGCCCACGTCGGACGCGACCTGTACCTGCAAAGCCTCTGCACCTCTGTGAACTCAAGCCGTGATGGCCCGTCGGCTACGTTCGATGAAGTGGGTACGCGGCTGTACCACACGTTCACTCGTGCTTGGGATTCAAGATGCAATACGCCTCGCACCCAATCATCAGCAACACTCGAAGTATCAGCAAAGCAACGGACGCAAGAGTAACGCGCTCCCTCGTTATCGAGGTAGCACACAAGTTGTGCGCCCTGGATAAGACCCTTCCACAGTTCATATGCAATCAAGATCGGAGCAATCTCAAGTTCGAAGATTGGGTTCTTCGAAAAAGACAGGAGTTGTTTCATGAGTTCCTCTGGGACCGACTCACCGAAATAGCCAGCGCAGCTGCCATTCGGAGCAAAGAGAAGACCTCCGATGCCGCCCCAAGATTTCTCAGCCTCACAAGCTCCGTCCGTGAAGAGAATCCAAGTTGCCCGGAGGCACGGCTGAATCCTCAATGGTTCAGCTGACCCGGTTCGCTCGATCAAGAATTGCAATGCAGACCTGTGTAGCGCACTCAAGGGAACAGCTGAGTTCGTATTCTTGCAAGCCCTTGACAAAGTCCTGATGGCTTGGTTGCTCACTCTCCCGAAGCTGTAACCTTCGAAGAAAACCATGCGCCCTTTCAGCCTCTCGAAAGGCATGCGCTCCATCTTGCCTTGTTCAAGAACTTCGTTAAAGGCATTGCTGAGCTCCTCGCGCCGCTTGTCAGTGTGTCCGACAAGAATCACACGATCCTCTGTGTTTGACAGGTCCACGTGCAAACCAAGAGTTGCAAAGGAAGTTGCATGACCAATCGCTTTCTTGCCTGACCTGTCGAAGCGAACGCCCAGCAGATCAAACAAGCACTCGATGACCCACGCGGTCACGCGGTATTATCCTTCAAGATGTTCTTGCAAACATTCGTGAAGTCGTGGAAGTCTGCAGTCCACACTATCTTTGCCAGCACGATCCCTATTTTCCAAATGGCATAAGATACACGCAGGAAAGCACTCACCGAGGCTACAGTCCAACAGGCAGTGCGTTAAGACCAAGGAGAAGAGGCTCCTCTTCCCCTGGTTTATTGACTGCCAGTCTCACCAAGGCGCGATCGACTGGATGTATACCGTATTGTTTGTAGGCGGACTTAAGATCATAATTTCTCCCTACGCAGCCCTTCAAGCTTGCAGCAGGGGACCTTTCAAGTGCACATGACAGAATCGCAGCAAGCTTGTCGATGGTGTGTAGTTCGAATCTCTCGCAAAGCCCAACTGCCAAGTTGAGGCATGAGATGGTACAGTCATCTATCAAGCGAACTTTTCCATTTTGAACAATACCAAAGCGCATGACAATGCTACTAAGGGAGACCTCGGTCGAGACCCACATCCAACCCAAGTCAATCTCCTTTTGCGTTTCTTGCCATACTGATGTCTCAAGATCTGGATCCTGACGGCGCGCAAGCTTAGACATCACGGTCTTGTTCAATCCAGAGGCAAGAAGTTTAAGGATATCCACTGACATCCTTGGTGCTCTGACCTTGGAGCCAGAGTTGCCGGTGGCTGGCATCCAGCTGGATATGCAAAAGCCATGCACAACGTCTCTGAACAGGTGCTCATCACTGCATCCGGCCGCCTGCATCATTTGCTTTTACAGAAGAAGACGTTTGCCTTGCAACACTTGTGCAAGGTGGCCAGGCATTGGCATGAAGCTTATCCTCCTCAAGTCGAAGCTTCTTAGCTCTTGCACTCCACTTCCTGACAAAGTCAGTTCGGGCACGAGCCAAGTCACCAGGGTTCCCTACAAAATTAAAATGAATCGCATTATCTATCGAGTTTCAAATGGAACTCAAAACTTCTGGGGTGCCCCGTGATTAAAGCTCTTCGAATAAACTCGGAAAACTCACAAGGAATGCCAATTGTGCAGAATTGGTCGGGCTTTCTGCTGTCTCTTCCCGCCGTCCTCGTCTTCGTGCACACCGGCTAGCAATGGCTGTAACTCCAGGCACTGAGCGACAAGGCAGAGTTTCCACCACGTGGTAGGCCCGTAGTAGTGACCGGTGGCAACATAACTGCAGAGCTGAGTGGCGCACCTGTGACGACACAAAACGCTGCAATCTTCCCAGCAGAGTCGTGTTAACATGTATCCGAAGTGATGGAATAAAGATAGAACGCCCCCGAACACAGCGGCCACCAAGGATTCCGGGTCGAAATACATGTGCTCAAGGGCGTGCATTGCCTCATTTGTCAAGCTACCAGCAAAACGTGGGTAAAAACAAGTACAGAGATCTTCTAAGCACTAAAAAACCCCAGAAAGACTCTAGCTCGAAAGGCATGCAATTGGAAAAGTGAAACGGGTAAAAAATGCGTTCTCTCGTTCACTGCCTCCTCACAGTGTCTGGTGCATCAAACTCGATTGCTTGCCCGATTTTGACCTGCTCATTACCGCCGTTCAGTATCTGCAATCCAATGTCTTACGTCCGATTCTGATTGGAGAAATGGGGGCGAACACATCCTTAGAACGTACGTTGTGAAACTTTATTTTCAGGTCAGTAAGAAAAATTGTGCGGAACACATCCATGGAACTGAGCGAGCCAAACAGACGTTCCAAACGCAGCAACTGGAAACACTTCCACCGCTTGCACTAAGGCACTTACAGGTGCAATCTGGCTGCTGGCGTGATCGTGGAGGACAGTTTTCGTGGTTTTTGGAACACTGATAATGGTCTTGCGCGATAGCACAATTTGCGGCACACATTAAATTGAGGGAGCAACAGGAAAGTTTCTGAATATGCAAACAAAAAAACTGTCAATGACTGACTGCTGCTGCACTCGAATAAAAACTATACTGGGGAGGCCCATTGTGGCGAAGCCAGAATTGCTTTCGTTTCGTGGGCCCAGAAACGGGGTCGTCCGCAGCATCATTTCTTGGGCTCATCCTGCTTCTATATCCACTGGAGATCAGTGTCAGTTTGCAATGTCATCGAGGTATCTCGAGGATCTTTTTAAGCCAATCGAGATCTTTGACGTTTATTAGGATGCATCGCTGCGACACGATCATCGAAGCTCCTGTCTAGGATTGCCAAGATCTATGGCTCTATGGAGTCAGCAATAGCCAATAGCTTGCAAGATCATCGAAGCTTGTTGAAGCCTTTTCTAACTCCAGCAAGTGGACTTGGAGCCAGCTCCGGCTTAGAATTCTCTGTAGTAAAGAAAGAAGAAAGGCAGCCCACGTGCTCGTTCAGGTCCGAGGCTTCTGGTGACCCCTTTAATACATCCGGGCCACAAACGTGTGGCTTTGAAGCCACATAAGCCACAAACGTGTGGTTTTGAAGCCACATCAAGGCCACTTAACGTGTGGTTCTCAAGCCACATCAACGTGTGGTTTTGAGGCCACATCATCTGAGCGGTCACAAGGTCCCGCTTTTTGCGAGGAGTCCCAACCGGGTCCCCCCGGGCCCATCCAAGTCCCACCTTCTGCGTCACCGAATCCCGTTTTTTTGCTCGCCGGGTCTTATCCGGGTGTCACCGGGTCCCATGTTTCCCACACAAGAAGTTTCATCTGGTTGTCACGTGTCCCATACTTTGCTAGCCAGATCGAATCCGGGTCCCACCGGGTCCCACCGGGTCCCATCCGGGTCCCACCTGGGTCCACCCGGGTCCCATTTTTCTAGGGCCGGGTCCCACACCCCGTTTAGGTTTTAAAAGTTTAAATGAACGGCGAGGCGGGACCCATGCACGGTTTTTGTGCATGGAGCTGCCTTTAGCATTGTAGTCCAGGTCATGTCCCAAACGGTGTCAACACTTCTTCAGTGAAAGCATGCATGAATCAAAGCATGTTCTCGCGAAGCTCGCACTGCTTCAGCAGTTGAGGCACTCTCGTTTGCCGTGTGCTTTCCGAAGGTGGAGGAACGAGATAGAGAAGATTAGCATGGCCCCTGCGCAAGGATGACACGCGCAAGCCGAGAAATCTACCAACGTGAAGCACAAGATAGCAGGGACAGCTGCAAGCTGCAGGAACTACAAGACCAGAAGAGTGCAGAGACTACGGTAAGATTGTAAGCTCCGAACCCACGAGGGAGGCTTTGGAAGGCTTCAGTTTCTGTCTCGAAACCCCACAAATGACGGTTCGAGAGGCTTTGCACTGTTGGTGAAAATCGCAAGCTTCGCGACTCCAAATGTAGGGCTGGAAAAGTCCAGCAATTCTGGCTTCGCTTGAGCGGGCCTCCCCTGTGCCCGTTTCTTTCATGTTGATTTAATGTACTTCCATAAGAAAGCAAGGCTTGGAAGCCTTAATCCTGAAAGCTTGTTTTTTTCCAAGCTGGACGCGCGCCTGTGTGCCACAGTCGCCTTGTTGTGTAGCAGTCAGGCGGACGTGCCTCAAAGTAGAAGAATTCGCGACCCCCCAAAATGGGGCCGTTTGGCGGCCCCATTTTTGGGGTCGGGGTTCCAAGCCTCCAACTCATGCTCAAACTATTTATTTAATGAGGCCGGGCGCATGTCGCAGCCCTGTTTTCGGGGCCGCGAAACGGCCCCATTTTTGGGGTCGCAAATCGCAACTGTTCGGGGCCAACCAGCTGGATCTCGGGCGTGCGCCTGCCTGCCTTTGTTCCCGCAGTTTTGGGCACCATGCAGACGCAAGATTGAAAAGCCAGAAGTCTTGTCCAAAGCAGCTGCACGCTCACCTTAAATGCCACAACCAGCGGATTTGCAACTGGGGAGGCCCATTGTGGCGAAGCCAGAATTGCTTTCGTTTCGTGGGCCCAGAAACGGGGTCGTCCGCAGCATCATTTCTTGGGCTCATCCTGCTTCTATATCCACTGGAGATCAGTGTCAGTTTGCAATGTCATCGAGGTATCTCGAGGATCTTTTTAAGCCAATCGAGATCTTTGACGTTTATTAGGATGCATCGCTGCGACACGATCATCGAAGCTCCTGTCTAGGATTGCCAAGATCTATGGCTCTATGGAGTCAGCAATAGCCAATAGCTTGCAAGATCATCGAAGCTTGTTGAAGCCTTTTCTAACTCCAGCAAGTGGACTTGGAGCCAGCTCCGGCTTAGAATTCTCTGTAGTAAAGAAAGAAGAAAGGCAGCCCACGTGTTCGTTCAGGTCCGAGGCTTCTGGTGACCCCTTTAATACATCCGGGCCACAAACGTGTGGCTTTGAAGCCACATAAGCCACAAACGTGTGGTTTTGAAGCCACATCAAGGCCACTTAACGTGTGGTTCTCAAGCCACATCAACGTGTGGTTTTGAGGCCACATCATCTGAGCGGTCACAAGGTCCCGCTTTTTGCAAGGAGTCCCAACCGGGTCCCCCGGGCCCATCCAAGTCCCACCTTCTGCGTCACCGAATCCCGTTTTTTTGCTCGCCGGGTCTTATCCGGGTGTCACCGGGTCCCATGTTTCCCACACAAGAAGTTTCATCTGGTTGTCACGTGTCCCATACTTTGCTAGCCAGATCGAATCCGGGTCCCACCGGGTCCCACCGGGTCCCATCCGGGTCCCACCTGGGTCCACCCGGGTCCCATTTTTCTAGGGCCGGGTCCCACACCCCGTTTAGGTTTTAAAAGTTTAAATGAACGGCGAGGCGGGACCCATGCACGGTTTTTGTGCATGGAGCTGCCTTTAGCATTGTAGTCCAGGTCATGTCCCAAACGGTGTCAACACTTCTTCAGTGAAAGCATGCATGAATCAAAGCATGTTCTCGCGAAGCTCGCACTGCTTCAGCAGTTGAGGCACTCTCGTTTGCCGTGTGCTTTCCGAAGGTGGAGGAACGAGATAGAGAAGATTAGCATGGCCCCTGCGCAAGGATGACACGCGCAAGCCGAGAAATCTACCAACGTGAAGCACAAGATAGCAGGGACAGCTGCAAGCTGCAGGAACTACAAGACCAGAAGAGTGCAGAGACTACGGTAAGATTGTAAGCTCCGAACCCACGAGGGAGGCTTTGGAAGGCTTCAGTTTCTGTCTCGAAACCCCACAAATGACGGTTCGAGAGGCTTTGCACTGTTGGTGAAAATCGCAAGCTTCGCGACTCCAAATGTAGGGCTGGAAAAGTCCAGCAATTCTGGCTTCGCTTGAGCGGGCCTCCCCTGTGCCCGTTTCTTTCATGTTGATTTAATGTACTTCCATAAGAAAGCAAGGCTTGGAAGCCTTAATCCTGAAAGCTTGTTTTTTTCCAAGCTGGACGCGCGCCTGTGTGCCACAGTCGCCTTGTTGTGTAGCAGTCAGGCGGACGTGCCTCAAAGTAGAAGAATTCGCGACCCCCCAAAATGGGGCCGTTTGGCGGCCCCATTTTTGGGGTCGGGGTTCCAAGCCTCCAACTCATGCTCAAACTATATATTTAATGAGGCCGGGCGCATGTCGCAGCCCTGTTTTCGGGGCCGCGAAACGGCCCCATTTTTGGGGTCGCAAATCGCAAATGTTCGGGGCCAACCAGCTGGATCTCGGGCGTGCGCCTGCCTGCCTTTGTTCCCGCAGTTTTGGGCATCATGCAGACGCAAGATTGAAAAGCCAGAAGTCTTGTCCAAAGCAGCTGCACGCTCACCTTAAATGCCACAACCAGCGGATTTGCAACTGGGGAGGCCCATTGTGGCGAAGCCAGAATTGCTTTCGTTTCGTGGGCCCAGAAACG